CAGCATCTAGCTGTTTTCAGTCAAACCTGATATGCAGTATACTCAACAAAAGACAAAGGTGACAACTAGCTGATGAAAATAGAGGAGAATTTCTCAATTTTTTTCATGCCTTTATTGGATAGTACAAGTGAAGATTGACAGGAAATGGGAGAGAGAGGGATGATATGCAGCAAAGGGCTGCAGGTTGGAATCGAACCTAAACAAAAACCACACAATTAATGTAACTTTAAAGAAATGTATTACTGAGTAAACTATATTCCAGCATAATTTACATTATATTATATTCATTTGCAAAGAAACTAGCACTAGATGTAGGGAGGGAACCAGTGGAGTGGCTCATAGTAGCACATTATAGTCATCCCAGTGTTTTACAATACTAACAAAACTACTTCAACCAGAAATAAATAACAACAACAGGAGATGTTTACAGTGTAGAACAGGCTGTAGTGGTCAACTGTACTGACATCCCATTAGGTCACCTTGACCAACCTACAAAATTCACATGTTCTGTGGTCACATACTGACAAGCTTTGGCCAAGCTGTTACGTACTCCATAAGGAATTATTTGACAGTGTAGCCATTGATTATTAATGATAATTGAGTAATGATGAATACACAACTAAGTATTGAAGTATTGAATAACAGTATACAGTGATTCTATATTAAATTCATAATTTTATTCTTACACTCACTGACAAATGGGCTTCTTTGCTTGACTGTATTAAGTACACTTTTTGGATTATATCAAATACATATACAAATATTTATTTCAATGTTACAAAAATGTCTATCAGAAGCACACAGTAAAACTCTTTCACCTGATTAATATGGGCCCTGCACCATAACTTCCAACCAAATAAAGCATTATAGTAGAAGAAGTAGTATTGTACATAGAAGTATTAGTAGTAGTAGCAATTGTGTGAGACATCCTTACAATAGTTAATGCAATCATCAAAGGTCTGAGATTGCCACGATGCTACGAATACTGTAGCCAGAAAGACAGCGGATTTTATTGATGCCCAGATTTTACACTAATATAGAAGGTGAACAAGGTGTACAAGTTTTGGAGTTTTGTTAACTGTTGTGCTGAATGGACCATACAAGTGTCCTTTTTAACTTCAGCTTTAGCTGTTGCAAGCAGCCATTGGATCTCACTTATTGTTGTAAGGTAACACTAAGCAAGATTACAATTAATCTAAAATTTAATCTAAATAAACGTTATCTGGCTGGCATGAAGGTTGTCAAATGAGTTAAAATGGATTCTTCACACACTACTGTGACGCATTTCATAACACCAAACAGTAGCTCCATATGTTTGACTCCTCTGTTGGTGTGTCAGGCTCCTGGATGGAAGTCTGCTGCTGCAGGAACTGGTCCCAGTCTGGCCGCCGAACTGGTAGCTCTATCTGGAAGTGGTTCCAGAACCTGGAGATCAACAGGGCATATTTAAGTTTAGGACATTTACAATAACTGTGCATCATAATGAATAAAAGCAACACTGTTGTGTCCATTGTGCTTCCATCTCTCAGTACTGTGTTCCATATTATAAAAACTGATATAACAAAATCTGATCTGACAAAAACCTGTATCATAAGTGTAACACGCCTCTAAAAAAACATGATGTATTACAAAATTTCTAATAGTATAAACCAAAAATCCTGCTCCAGTATGCAACTTATATCAGTGTTATTTCTATCTCTGCTTCTTATACACACCCCTTTAATAATCACACTTCACATGGGAAAACAATGAAGCTTAACATTTGTTAACTACAGAGAAATAAAGAGACTCTTTGCACCTTTAAAGCTTTTACAGAGCCTGGTATCAGGTATCAACATTATCATCTGATCTCTGTGAATGTAAATTGATGTAAAGAAAGAACTCACTGAGATATTTGTTTTGCATGTTTTTAGAGCCATGGAAAGCATGGCCGGTGTGGTGGCACACTTATTAAACAATGAGCGAATCAACACACAACATTAATGTGCCCTGTATGTGTTATTTCTGCTGTATTTTTTACATTTGCTGGGAGGGAGGGAGCTAGCAGATGTTATCAGGGGTTTAGTTACACTTTAAGCATTGTGGAACTGAAATTGTCAAAGTGTTATAAATGGAGCTGAAAGTGTCAACTAGGGAGTAATGACCGAAACCAGATAAACTCTGTTAAACTATAATATAAAGGCAGTGGGAGTCTCTGTTAAATTGTAACCACTGAGAGTTACTGCATTGACAGTTGAAAGATGTCGAAATGTCAGTTGAAGAGGAAGAGATAAAGCAAAAATAAATATGTTTTAACAGCATTTAAGTTATGCACCACTGAGTCTGATTAGGCTAGAACTAAAACAAGCAGTGGAATGAAGTGACAGGCCAGATTACTAGGAAAGTCTTTTTTATTTCTTTATTTACATATTTGACATTTTAGCACTATGGAGATGCCTTTATCGTTGCTTGCCAGTAAGTGTGGATTTGCCCTGCTGCATTGTGAAATCTGTGAGGAAATGAATGCTGTTGTAAAAAAAATGTAAAAAAAAAAAAAAGTTATTCTGAAGTACTCTTCTAAAAAGTGTGCCTGTGTTCAAAATACTGACGTATGTACTGAATACAGATGCTTCATTTTTGTATTCTGTACAACCAAACCACGCACAAAAATAATGAGAGGTCCCTATCAAATGTCTGGTGTTTTCTGTTTTTTCACTGAAGAAAGGATTCAAAAGCTTTATTGTCATATGCAGAAATAGTCATTAATGGTTTTGATATATGAGATAAAGTGTGTGTACTTGTGGTGGTAGATGTCCGGGTCTCTGCTTATGCGGTTCTGGAAGCCGATGTACAGGTCATCCCAGAGATGGCCGTGCAGCACCACGAATCTCATCACCTCAATCCTGTTTTTAATCTTTAGGGAGGGAGCCAAGAAACATCTGGGTTAGTGCACCAGTCTATGCAGTACATGTTCATGTGTATAATGCAGTGAGTCAGAAGGCGAAAGGGTGTCTTCCTTTCAAGTAGAAAACAATATTTCAGATTGATAAAAGTGAATGGTACAGATGTTTAAATATGTCCAGCCTTCCACTAAATAGTGAAATGCTTGCTTGCGTACTCCAGTGTTTGCTGGAACTGCCACTGACTGCTGTTCAGCAAGAATGTACTTCACGTCTATTTCATAAATCCACAATACATGAAGTTTTATAACTAGGTTCTCATCTCATTTCCGCTCAAAACATATTTAAGCACACCTTAACCATTCACTCCCTCCTCGACTAATTTTCTACATCCCTCCCC